TGTTGAAAGATGTATTTACCTTGCCTTATGTTTTAGTTGATTCCAATGAGTTTAACGCAGTGGAGGACTTATGGGCTTATGCACTTTTTATGTGCCTGTTTTTTGTTGGAGAGTTCCAAGCACCTTGAAAGAGGTCCAAGCGGGTTGATTCTTCTACATCGCTTCATCTTTTCCTCTTCTGTCCAATCTTAAGAGCGCAAGTGTGGGTCTTCTGACCAGAAATATTGAAAACAAAAATGACGACAGGTGCGCAGAAGTTGCTGCTGACCACCTAGGAGGATACTTATCAACTCTCCCGTTATACCCGGGATGCTGCCGTATTTAACTATTCCCTCCCAGTATCCTTCCGTTTAAATATTTTCCCATAAATCTCCCGTATTTTTTTAAATCTTTCTAAAAAATACAAAAACTTGTATGTAATGTTTGCTAATCCCCCCCTTGTAAAGCGGGTAGCAGAATGTAGCACATTTGCTTTAACAGTGATGGGAAGTGAGCGGTGATGTCAGCCAATAAAAGAAGAAGAAGAACAGCAGAACGAGGGGACCAAGATGGATGATACATTGCACATACATACATCCATAGTATTCACTTGCATATGCACCTAAAATTAGACAAGTGCAAACTGGAAAGATGATCGACAATGTGAATTATTAATTAATAAATTAAGACCAATGTAGACTGTTTTTCTTGCACAAGGATTTAGTGAATGAAAACAACTGACAGAATTAATATTAGGCCTATACAAGTGATAAACTATATATGAAATTAGAACGAATATAGTAACTATAAGGAATATATTAACCATATACTAACAGTATATTATGGAATTCACATTATAGTGTTATTTAATGAGAAGAATGTGTCCTAAAAGTTTCCCTTATTTTAAATCCCAATGTTGACAGGTATGTCTATGGGTATTCTATATTTCAGACCATTATGTTTTTGCCATGATATGAATAAAAAGCATCAAGCATAAGTGGGACAGTTGAAGTTTGAGGTAGGCTTTTAGATTTGCTGTCTGTTATTACTGTTCTTGATCGCAGCTGATTGAGTGTAGCCTGCTGGCACAGTGATTTACCACTGTGTGTTACCTCAACAAGTCCCATGCCACTGCAGTGTGATAAGGACGAGAGCTGCAGAGGGAACTGCTCTGTGGTCCGTCATGCTTAAGATGTGAAGCATGATCACCAACTTTATCATGATCATGTGGCCTGACCACAGGCACACAAAGACACACTGGCACGGAAGCTAAAGGAGAAGTAAAATTTGCATCTAGCTTAAAAATGTCCACAAAAATATTGCAGGTTTAATAGAATAGAAGGCAATGGTTGTACTAATTAGCTCCACAACCAAGCATGTGTAAGTTTGTGTCAGTTTTCTTATAGCTGTTTAAACAGGTAGAACTCTTGTTTGAAACATTTCCCCATTTACACGTCTGTGAAGGAAATTTAATTTCCTTCACTCACAAGCTCACAATATGCGACTCTGTTACCTGCATGAATGTGGAAACAATCTGGACGATGGGAGTAAGAATGGGTGGAATGCAGGTCCTTAGATAAGGGGGAGGAGAAATCTTGCCTTCAGTAATCACAACACAGATGGTTCAAGGACTCTTTCTTTTGACGGATGTCAGAGCTCATGTGGGGAAACATAAAACAGTCGTCTTCAGGGGAGTCTATAAGTCTTTGCAGTGGGAGTTTTGTTAAGTTTGAACAAGAAGGTCAGAAGTCAGAAGCATCAACGTAAGCCTTCAACTTTAGTTTTACGTTTCAGCGTATCACAAGTTGTGGAATAACTTTCGGATGCGTATGTTTTTGTAACCCTGTGTATATCTTTCAGTCAGAACCTTAATGACTAATAGACTGTGCTGCTTCCCTGGTTACTTAGGAAACCACTGAGCTCCTGAGAACTATCCTGTCGTCATATTTGGAGGGCTGGAGTGTCATAACCAGGGTCACTCAGTATGATTTTCCACTGAAAAGATTTAAAAGGTTGGGAAGACCAGTAAATGAAAAATGAGTTATGAAATGTTTTGAAATGTTAGACTGTAAACTCACATTAGGTAAAATATAGTTTCAACCTTCACTTTAAACTTTAAACCATTATCTTTTGCAGATTGCTTTGTACGCAAAAGCAGTGATAAGTAGGCAACATTTGCTATCTCTTTTCTCTAAACAGTTTTCCTGCCTCAATCTCTTCCTGTCAGCTCCTTTCATCACTATCTCTCAGTTATCTCCTCACTTTGTAACCCTATGCAGTAGCCGTGCTTGCAGTAAAATGCGGCATAATGTGCTTTTAGATGCACATCGCAAAGGAGGCTCTCAGAGAGGGGATGGTTGCAACTAAATTATAGACAAAACCAGTTAAAATTTGAAGCAAGAATTACACAACTATTAAAATATGGGTTAAAAGGCCATGAGTTACGTCTGCCATATAAATCAAATCTCATCTGAAACACGGTTTAATGACTCAAATTGTCTTGAGATTTTCTTTTCTTTCAGTCTTTAAAATTCACAATCCACATTTGCGTGTTTGTAACATATTAGTAAGAATGACTAATTTAAGAAACACCTATAAGCAATAAAACTGGCATTGGTTCAATAAACACCAAGTGGAGCTGCCGCCCTATTTAGCAAGAACAAGTAATAATATTTTATCATGTCCAAGTGAAAAGGTTAAATGTCTTATTTAACAGTGGAAGGTTGAAAATACTGACGACCCTATGGTCTAGTAACCCTATCCCACCTCCAGCTGCAGCTGTTGAATGTGTCTCAGCTTAGTGTAAAGTCAATATGCATGGGATTCCATACAGTAAGATGAAAACAGGCCCTAAAATTTAAATTGCTCAAAAGTCCCCATATTTCAACCAGGAATGTATTAAGCCAACAGTCAACAAATGTGAAAGATCATTTTGACAATGTGGATTCTAATTAAAACAGCTTGAAAGGCACTAGAAGTGTAAATGTTTCCCACACCCCACTATAGCATCAAAGACCTCCCGAGGTTTGTGGCAGTGGGTGGTAGGTAAACAGAGTTCTCGCTGTCTTGTGAATACACACACACACACACACACACACACTCCTAAATACATACCATTTGAGCCTTTGATCAGTATTAATTAGGTAACATCAAAAGGGCAAATATAGCATGTAGAGAGCATATGGCTTTTTTACAGTAGACCTACAATCAGTAAAAAACAGTGAATTACAAATGTTATGTTATCACATGAAGACATGAGGAAATGTTTGTGAAAAAGAAAAGCCATGAGATCAACAAAAACGCGGAGATAATGACTATCCAGAGCGGCCATTTGTTTATGTTTGTTTGATTGAGGCGGCAGAAAAGGAAAGGTCATGTCTATTTAAATGCTATTTATAGGCTATTAGAAACTTACTTAAGCTCCACCTGTGTGCCCCATCACAGATCTTCTGATGGGAGCAGAGTGGAAGTGCTTAGCAAATTCTTACCTCTCCTTTAGAGATGTGAGATTAAGTGCAAATGGGGATTTTGGCCTGAGGGTTGGGGTGAAGGAAACTCCAGGGCCCACAACAATCAATGTATTTTCAATAGAAAAGTTTGACCTGGTGATGGCACTAGAGAAAAATTTCAAGAAGTCACCAAAAGCATTCAAATTCGCCCTATGACAGCGACAAATGCACATAGCAAATTTCATAGCAATCTGGCCATTAGTTTTGTTCTAACAGACTTAATTGCCAGTCAAGTGAAAATGCTGACCTGACTTGCTCTTAATGAAATGTTACGAGTCTCCAGAGAGATTCATTCTCCTCTGGGGGACACAAATACCAAATTTCACAGCAGCCTGCTCAGCAGTTATTGCGATATTCTGCTTTGTTGGCTTCCTTGACCATCACAATAAAAAGATGTTACTCTTCAGTTACTGTGCACCAGACACAGTCCGCTGAATCTGCTTCTTGAATTCACAAGACTGTGTCATATCCAGGATGCACACCTTACATTTCATTTACACCATGAACTGTGTAGTAATATGGTTATGCACATTTCTGTAAATGTTCAACTTCACTGAACATTACATGTATCCCAGATGCAGGGATGATAAATAATGTTAGATGTTTAAATACTGTTGCCTCATTTGACTTTTTACAGTATTACATTGGAGACTAAGGATGTCTTTATATTTCACTCAGGGGGACTGTGCTCAAATCTGACTCTGAGTTGTTTATCTCCATCCTTGCTGCAGGTGAGGTAGGTTAACATTGCCTATCTACCTGAGAATCATACAGCTAGAACCTGATTTTGAAAGGACCAAAACCACATTGTGAGTTTTGCCAGTGTCACATCTTTAACAATACTTCAAGGCCATGGCACAGCATGGTGTATTGGTATTGGTAGCATGCATCAAGGCGCATACTTTGGGAAGATGCCACCACCACCACAATAAATGTTTGAGGACTATCAATATGCTGCCAGCTCGGTCATCATGTTTCAGCAATTTCACCTACAAGCACTGACAATAACACAACTCAACTCAACATTTGGGAGGGAGAGGAAGAAAAGTCTGCGGATCAGCGTGGAAAATCAACACAGATGTCAAACTTTTACTCCCAGACCCGACGCCTGCTTGTTATTTTCCCGCTCACTCCCTTCCATAAATATTGTTCCAATCCCTCAGTTTGATCAAGAGCCCAGCTCTGGCGCAACAAGTCCTTCATTCCAGCCGCGTCGCCGTTCTCTACCCCTGTGGGCGCACGACCGAGCGTCTCCTATCGAAATAACGGTGCGCACAGCGGATTCAGGCATCTGCTAATGCCATCAAAGCCTTTATCTGAACCGAGGGCTTTCTAGCCACGTCTACGTGGCAGGTATACTTTGAGTATGTAAAGATACCCACACCGTGCATGCTTAAGAAGACGCGCATAAGTAAGCCAAAGGAGGAAAAAAATGTTTGTTTTCCCCCTAGGAACCAAATGTGAATTTATAAGGAGTCATTGAATAAGCAGAATAAGACCTGACATACTTACAGTCTCTGCTTTTCCAGTGAGAGGTAGTTTAGTTTACTCCTTGACTGGTTCCTGGATGTCCAACTCAAGCCTGATTCGGGGTGCCTGAAATTCCTCCAACAGACAACTCCTAGAGAGTCAAAGTCGCAGCTGTGTAATACAAGACTCCAAATCCAAAATACAGCCAGGTAACCCTTTCATTTTATGTCCGCGCAAAAAATCAATACCTCCTCTGTTTTTTCTCGAACAGTATGTCCCTGCTAAAGTTGTTTTATTTATTTTCCTCCAGATGAAGTCGCCTTGATGCTCTCTGCTGCGTCTCCGTGCCTCTCTGCGCTGGCGCGGCGGCTCCGCAAAGCTCTTTCTCTCTCTCTGGCCGACCGACTGCCACACATACTCTGCAGGAGAGGACCTTTGTCTGCACATGACGTCACACACACACACGCACACTCACACTGAAAAAAACGATACATTTTAATAAAGAGTTTCATTGAAAGTTTGTGGACATCTAATTTTGCTTGGAGAATTTTTTTTTCTTCCAAACCGCGTTTCACTGCAAACCAATAACACAGGAGCATTTTCTTGAGGAGATCTTGAAATTGCTGGATTTTTAGTCTCCTAATACTTAAGACAGGTGAAATTTCATCAGTAACAAGTGCATTTAATTCACCCATTTGACACTGTCACACTTACCTTATAAAAAATGTTATTTCATGAAGTAAATGTCCCGTTACAAAAGGCATTTCTTGTAGTGTTGAGAGTTCTTTTTTCCCTCAGCGCCTAATTGGAAACAGATTTTTTTTCAGTAACTTGTTAAGAAAGAGACAGGAAGGGAGAGAGGGGTGGATTGAAGCAGAGAGAAAAAGAGAATGTGAGACTGACACTGAGGGACTCAAATACATATTGTATTCCTTACCAATTAACTTTCCACATAATATATAGGAAATATTTCCTCCTGTCTGCCGGTGCTGGTGTCCAAGTGAAATTAAAACCTCCTCAAATGAAATCTTAGCTTGTTTTCTCAGAGAAAGCATTTGGTAGGGACAGTTATGTCTGCCAACTTTACACCATCTGTGAACACTTAGTGAGGTGTTTGTAGCAAACCAACCACAGCGACTGTGGAATGAAAGGTGTTAAGGCCATGATACACTGAATAATGTGTAAAAAAAATTCCCATTTGTGTCATAGTAAGTTGAATGTGTCATTGGCATTCAGTGTTATTTAGCACGAATTTCCAAGCAAGGCACACTAATGTTGCCTCCTCTAAATATTACCTATACACCAACATTCATACATGATTCATGATTATTCACAGGTGCACCTACTTTTAAAGCTGGGATAAGAGTACACAATTTTAGCCACAAAAGGCCCAATCAAACGGATATGGAACCTCAGCCCCCAAAATGTACTGTTTATCTGATGTAGAACAGAATGGATTTGTCAATTAATCCTTTGAAAGAAAAATAATCAGCAACTACTGATAATTTGATAATTGCCAAAGTAATTTAAGTAAAAATGCCAAACACTCCAGCTTCTAAATTGCGAGGATAAAGCTGCTTTGTCTGTGCGATACTAAACTGAACATCTTTAGTTTTTTGAAGTGTTGATCGGACAAAACAAGACATTTGATGAAATCATCTTTTCTGTTTAGGGAATGGTGAATAGCATTTTACTACTTGCCGAGAATTAATTGTTAAAAAAACAAATAATAAATTGATTGAATTATCTGCAGATTTTATGGAAAATGGAAAATAATCCTAGGTTGCAGCCCTGATCCATTGTAGGGGGCTATAGCAGAAGAATTATGCATCTAGGATACCTTGTGAGGAACTGATAGAGGTCCTAGCAATGCCATGGTTGTTGACATTCCTGATCCTGGTCGTGTCACTGCCCCCTCCTGCTTGGTCACCTTTGCAGTCGTGCAGGTCATAAAAAATCCAACAAGTCATCCAAACTAAATAATTAAAACGGTCCTTTCCCATTGCCTTCCAAAACAAATATGAGCATTTTCTGATCTGACGTCCCCATAGCAAGATGACATTTCAAAACTCTTAAACATCTTAAAACTTTTATTCCAAAATATTGACCTGCTGCAGCAAAAGTAAGGTTTGGTTAGGTTAAGGCAAAAAAAATACTTGGTTAAAGTTAGGGAAAGGTTGTGGTCGTGGTTAAAACAAACCCAGGCGGACTGTCGGTAGAACACGAAATGCAAACAGTGGTCTCCCACATCAATGTCACATACTTTGTGAACCCAACCATCGTCCTTCTATGACATTTTGTCGACCTTTTGCTCCTGACAAACGAGACAAAATCACCTGACCACTAAAAGTCTTTGTTAGGTAAAGGTGAACAAGTTGCCTACGCATGTGTTTCTTTAGCCATTTGAAAACGACCAATGCTGTCGTTCTTGTGAGGAAAGTCTCAAAAAACTGTAAACTATGATTGGCTGGTGTTCAACAAGTAATCTGACAAGTGGCAGCAGGAATGTAAAGCAGAATGGTTAATAAGTGACCATGACAAGAGACATAAATGTGTCTAATCCCAGCATTATCTAAAATCTCTGTAACAACCATATAATGCAGCGTGAACTCAGAATGTTGTTTTTCTGCCACCTACGGTGATTTTCCAACACATACATAAACGACAGAATAGGTAATTTGCCAATGACACTCAAAACAACATATATGACCGTTGGAGATTACCTGCAACAGGCAGGATGACAAAGCATCAATATGTGGTTAACGTTGTAAAACAGCAACAGTTTGGTTACGTTTAGGCACCAAAAGTGCTTGGTTAGGTTTAGGAAAAGATCATGGTTTGGGTTAAAATAGGTAAGTTACAGTAAAGTGCAGTAAGTCACGAGATGTAAGGTGGCGTGATTTAAAATAAGTCAACGGTGACTTTTGGTTCTACGTGGAACACAAACAGCTGTCTGCTATGTGTAACTTAACTCATGTACATAACTTAAAATAATACGGGGCCTGTGCTAGAGGATAATTGGGCTGATTTTGGGCCCCTCCCAGCAATCATGGAGGTGTTCTCAATTTGACGCTGGTCTGAACAGATTATCAGGCCATATAACGTGAGGGGTTTACGGTGATAATCTTAAAGTTAGCGACTGGGTCAGACTCTGATTTTTTCCTGTAGTGTGAAAGGAACAGCGATGGAATATTGAGCAGAAACCCGAAATAGCCAAAGAGAGCAAGCTGTCCCGGGAAGCGTCACCAGCCGCTAGCGTTAAGAAATGTATAAGCCATATTGATTCCGTTTTCTCAGCATGAGTTCATCCACATACTTAGTGTCTTTTATTGTTTTCTGTGCAAAACATAGCACATGCAAGTGCAACCAGCTGATGACAACAGTCTTCCTCCATGTTTGTTTATTTCTGTGAGAGTTCCTGTGAGTCCTCAAGTTCCTGCGTCTTGACTGAATTGTCCGGTGTGTGCATTCTTAAAATATAAAAAAATTGTTAATTACTTGATAACATTATGTTATATATAAATAGTAGTGCCTGTAGTGCCTGGCATACTGGATGGTGGGAAAGGAATGAGTGGAAGCACACAATCCAGCAATGGGGAAATCTGTTTGCTTTGAGTGATTTGTCAAAATACTTGCATGACCGCTACGCTACATCTGTGCTCTTGTTGTGATAGAAGCTCCACTATTTCACACAAGTTTAACAGGCCAAATTTAAAACTGTGGTCTCCCACAATGGACAGCAAACATCTACCAGTTAGCCAAACAAGAATCCCACTACTGTGCAACAGGGAGACTCATGCTCGCATGGCTGCAGGCAGATGTATGCTTGTTTGTATATATGCTGTTTATATCATAATCTGTTCCATACTTTGAAGATGGACTTACTATTTACTCTGCAACTGCAACGAAAACATAACTTTCAGCAAGATAAAAAATTTGTTCATTTCTTAGAATTTCTTTTTTCATGTTATGACGAGAAACACACTTATCATAAGCTGTTTCTAAGTTAAAGCAACTCTTGAGGGATTTTTTTGTCTGAAAGTGCCACATATCAGTCAGTCCAAGGACATTGGCATCTGTTTGCCCACTGTGTATGGGGTTGCTCCACTCCACAACAGGAGGTGGGACACAGATCATTCAATTTAAATGTACATTTCTGTTACCACATTACATGTTACTGACACACTCACTGCAAGTTCATCTTGAGAGGTGAACGGAAATGTTACTGTTGTTAAAACAGTTGTTTATAGGAACATTGGCAATGAGACTTTCAGGTCTAGTCATCTTGCCTATAAAAAATATCGGGAAGTAAAAGATCAGGAGGTTGTAAACTAGGTACCTTCACTGTTTTGGTATGGATGAGGTTTGGATCACCTAGCTATATCACCTCAATAAGAAATTTTATTCACTTAAGACACTTGTATCCTAGTCACCAGGTAGGTCAGTAGGGATACACAAGAATTGTTTTGAATGTGTCATACAGACAGGCCTGTGCACCATCTGGCAGTATTTACTGGGGTGTTTGTAATAAACAAACCAACATAATTGTAGGAATGGAAGGGAAGAGCAGAGATTTTAAAACTGTGTATGTCTCAAATGCTTCTTCCTTCCACGTTGCTGGCGGCCCGAACATCATGTAATCACCTCAGTTATTTCTCAGTCCTGTCATGCTTCAGTATTATGGCTTATATTCTGATTACCAGTCCTGACTTTTCCCTCTGCTAGGCTTGATAGACAGTTTTACCATCAAATAATTTGGAGAAAATAAATGGTGCTAACAGGAAGTAAAGACATAATTAAAAGTTAAATCAGGACTTTATAGGGAAGGGAAATTTACTTACGACCATTTGGCTTATGATGTGTCTAATATAAATGCTGGTAGATGAGGTTGTTTTGAGGCTCAGAAAGTGAAACTGTCAGGGCTTGTGATACAGTGGAGCCAGATGCAGACAAAGGGATAGAAGTAGATAGGCAAAATCAAAGAAGTTTATATTTTCAAAAATGTGTAAAGGGGAAGTCCAGGGAGTAGTCTTCAGAGCAGACAGGCAGGTGTGGTGAGACTAGGAAACACTGTGGTGTAGGGGCAGATATGTCAGAAACTGGCTGCGTCAAGTGAGTTCTGCTCATTTTATATCAGTAAAATTTTAACATTTTCAACAGTTTGGAAACAAAATTTATACAGATTATCTAATAAATATCTTGACTGAGTGCTTTCTCTACACCACAACTACCTTGTACGGGGTTGTGTAGGTAGATTTCTGAGATACTACACAGAAATAAATAAATAAAAATAAACTACTAAAAACAACATTAAAAAGGTTATTTAATTTCCAATCCAATCCATTTTATTATATAGCACATTTAAAAAACAAAGGTTTACAAAGTGCTGAACAAGAAATAAAACATAAAAACACATAGAAACACATAAAACAACAAGA